TTCTATGTTTTAATATGAAGCTTATGCTTGTTTAAGAAAACTATAAATAATTACTAGTGAAAGACGGTTGCTCTTGCTGGTTTCTATTGGAACCTAGGGAATTACCCTAGGATTCATGGTTTTTATTTAAACAAACCCATTGCCTAGGCGCCAGCGTTAGTGACTAGGTATTTAGGTAACAAGGTGTCCTTTGTCCCATAGCCTCACCTTGATGCCTTGTGATCCTGTCCCTTTGAAAAGGTGTGCACCTAATAATGTGCCTTGCGGCCTTGGTTAAATTTTGCACTTCTTTATGATGTCACTGGTGGACCTTGCGTCTTGCATGCTCACCAAAGCTTCGAGAACCTGTTTTTGCTAATGTTGTTCATTCATGCTTATTAAAAAGACATTTTTAAAAGACAAGGAACTGCAATTAAAATTATAAAGCCATATTTTTTGTATAGATTAAGAATTTGAGACCCTAACATGTACCTGTTTGGGCTTGCCTCAAGGGACTTGGTACAGAGGTGGCTCGTTGAATTAGGAACGATATTTGACATCATATCAGCTATTTTAAATAATACGATTGGGAAAGCAAGAAATAGTTTGAAAGTTTGACATACTTGAATTGTTGAGTGCTTGAATATGTTTTATGGCAAATTTCTTAAATATACTCTGGTTTCACTAAAGCACTTAAATATACCCTGTGGTTTCCAAAACTACTTAAATATACTTTGTTAAAGCATGTAATCATTAAGATTGATGGAAAAAAATAATGGACAAAAATGCCTTGACTGTTCTTTAAATTTTCAGAACTTGCACTTGACTGTTTTTCCAGAAAATCCTTGGTGTTTCAATGAAGATAAAGAACCCCCAAGAAATGGAAGGAGTATTGAGTTAGGAGGGAGGTAGTAGTTCAAAATGTGTTCTCACAGAATAGAAAGTTACTGAATTATCAGCCATGTGTCTGAAACAAATAATAGAGGAAAAACAATCAAATCAACAGATTTAATTCTTCAGAAATAAATACAGGACAAATGAATAATTGTCTCGTACGATTTCACAAAAATTAACTTTTAATCACCACTTTGAGGAAATTTCTTAAAACAATTATATCCAGATCAAACTGAATCAAATCAAAACCCTAATTAATCCATCAGTAAAGAGAATTAACTATCTTAATGTACTTATCCTGCAAAACAAACATGTTTAGATTTAAATATCATCGAACATCACAAAAAGAAATGTATTTTAATTGACTCGAATAAACAACAGTCTATATGAAAATCAATAACTGAATCAATCAATACATGCAATGGATGGAATATCAACTCATTGACAGATCTGATCCACAATAAACCATAAGAATACCTGATTTTTTTGTATGATACTTATGGCAGTGGTATCATCGGTAGCCTCTGGTGAGGAATAGAAAAGAAAAAGGAGATCTTTTAGGTTCTCTGATGAAATTCACATGAGGACAAAAATTATCTGGAGAAACTGAAGGGGCAAAGGAAATGCAAATGACAACTCTCTAGGCGTAGGGGCATACAATGCCTACAGTTATATTCTAAGGGAAATCTATTGCCTTGCTATCGAAACGTGAATTACATTCAAATGGGTTAGGAGGAGTGGACAGATTTTTCAACAAATGATATGCTAAGAAAGTGGAAAGAAGTTGCTAGCTCAGTTACAAGGAAGAAGACTTTGAATCTCATGTGGAACCCTCCACCTCATGGTTTTGTCAAACTAAATTTTGATGGCAGTAGCATGGGGAATCCAGGGCCTTCGGGTATTGGGGGGGTCCTAAGGGATGAGAGAGGTAATGTAATAGCTATGTTCTCATGTCCAATTGGAGTGGGAGACTCCTTGAGGGCTGAGGTGTTAGCAGTGTTGGAAGGGGTACAAAGGGCCAAAGAAATTCAAGTCAAGAAACTGCTTATAGAAGGAGATTCTGTGATTGTTATGAATTGGCTGAAAGAAGACGCTTCCAAGATGTGGAGCTACAGCATTGAGAAAATAAAATTCAAGTGGCTGATTAAGGATGTGGAAGTCCAATGTACTTGGGTTAGAAGAAATGCTAACTCCTTGCTGATGGATTGGCTAGGCAAGGAGTTTTTAGAAATTCTGGGTTTTGGGCTCAATTGTGAGGGTCTGAGTGTTTAAATCAGTTTTACTTCTTTTCTGGGGAGTTAAGTATCTTTAGCTCCCCTTCCCTGTAACTTTTTTCCTATTTTAATGAATTATGTGGTTGTTGATAAAAAAAGGAGTGGAAGACTGCAAATGGGATGGCAGATTCCTTTGCAAAGCAAGGGGTTTTTAGGTAGCAACTTTTCTGCGCAGAATTGTAATTGATTTGTTTGAATTCTTCCAACCTTGTAGGCTTGTACTAATATTCATGAATTAAGTGATATCAATAAAATTTTCCTTGGCCAATAAAAAAACTGAAGGGGCAATGGACTACATGGGATATCACATGATGAAGGTTCAAAAACATTTAGTTTAAAAATAAAGTTTGCATTTTTTATTGATACTATTTTTCATATTTTCTTGATTTACTTTGATTGTTTACATTTTCCATTTTTTTTTTCGAATTTATGCCTTTCTTCAAAAAGGCGTGCACCTTGTGCACAAAATCCCTTTGCGGTTTTTCTGTACCTTGTGCTTTTAAAATACCATGCATCATGGCATTTTGTAGGTAAGCCTCAAAAAATTCAGTATTCATGAATATAGTCAATAAACAAAGAGAAGCCTAAGGAGGCCGTTTCCTAAATCCTTAGTGTAATTATATAGCTCGTTGTTAAACATGTTTGACATCCTACATCTAACAGTCTGAGTTCGAGTCTCACTAGGATTGCTTTCCTAATCATAGAAAAAAGCCCTATAAAACATTTAAGAAGGAATAATTTTCTATAATCCGAACTAGAAAATGTTTAATTCATTTAAAATGACAAGGGTGTGATCAGTATTTTAAAAGTGCAAGGTGCAAAAAAAGCGCCAAGGGCATTTTGCTCCCGAGGCACACACCTTTTTGTAGCAAGGCACAAAATTTCAAAAAAAAGAAGAAAAATTGCAAAAATTCGAAATAGATTAAGAAAAAAAATTAAAAACAATATTAATTGAAAATGCAAACATTAATTTTATACTAGATATTTTAAATGCTTGTTAGCTTAAATTAAAATTCATAACCATAACATATAAAACATATCCAAAGTGAAAATGCAAACAATAAAATCAAACTTAGCATTATAAAACATATTTAAGTATGTTGACTTTCAATTTCTTTATTTCTTTTCTAAGTGCACTATTTTCAATAGGTAATATGATGTTAAACATATTTCATTCATAATTCTATGATCTGCCTTTCTACCGAGGTCCTTGAGACAAGCCCAAGCAAATCCATGTTAATGTCTTAAATTCTTAATACCTACAAAAAATGGTTTTATAATTTTAATTATCTTTTATGTATCCTTTATCAGGAAGAATGAAAGAACAACATTGGGGGGGGGGGGGGTTTCGGGGCTTCGTTGAGCAAGTAAAGCAAGCGAATTGGAGTGGAGTAGAACCACCCTATTTGCTATTGTTGTTCATTCATTCTTCATAATAAAAGATATTTTTGTTTGGGCTTGCCATGAGGGGTTGGTAGAGAGGCAGCTCGTAGAATTTGGAATGAAACATATTTGACATACTTGAATATGTTTTATATTTCTCTTTGAATATGTTTTATATGTTATGCTGATAAAAAATGTTTTATGTTTTATGGTTACACATTTTAATTTGAGCTAATAGGCATTTTGAAAAGCTTAGTTCAAAAATGTATGTGCTTTGCCTTGAACCTTGGGTGCAAAATGCCCTCTGCAGTTTTTTCTGCCTTGCATTTTTTAAAACATTGGGTTTCCTTCCCTTGCCCAAGAAAAGAGGAAAGAATGTGGAGAGCCTTGAGAGCTGTGGTTTTATGGTCAGTTAGGGAAGAATAGAATATCATGTTATTCAAAAGGTCAAAGTAAATCAGTATATGACCTAATTCAAGGAATTCAAGTGAAAATAATTCATTAAGTCTTTGGAGTTGTTCAATGAGTATTCTATGGATGACCTTTTTTGAGGATGGGGAGTAATAGCAGCTTCTTCTACTTTGTAATCAGCTGTGCAGGTGATGTGGCCTCCTTCTAGCTACAACAGAAATTAAATTAAATTTTGATGGAAGTTCTTGCATTCATCCTGGCCCCTCGGTTGTAGGGGGTTCCTTCAGAGACTGTAGGGGAGTACTACTGGCACTCTAATCTGGTCCTATTGGAGTAACAGATTGTTTACTGATGAAATTTTAACCTTTCTACTGGGATTAAAGCTTGCAAGACAGTTGAATTAGAAGCATATAGATGTTGAGGGTGATCCATTGCTGGTGGTGGGATGGTCAACTAAACAAAGTGATGGCCCCTAGGTGTTAATACATGCCATAAGGGAGATTACAAGGATAGCAATTGAGGTAGAGACCACATTCAAGTGGGTTAACGGGTCTGCAAATGCTTTGGCAGACACATTTGCTAAGCAAGTGATGAATAGGGAGTAGCTATTTTGGGCTAATCTGTACTCTTAAATTGTTTTTGGGGTTAGCTTGGTTTGCAAGCCTGTAGTCTTCCAAATTTCTCTTTTTTAATGCAATCATTTGGTTAACTAACAAAAAAAAGTGAGACATCTACCAAAGACACCTTACCCAGACTGTAATATAACTATTAAGAATATTGAAGAAATACTCAACATATGATGAAACACACCAAAGTCTATAATCATGGAGGACACATTACCATGCCAAGCAAATAATAAATAAAAACAGCACACTGAAAGCACTCTTCCTATGATTACTTATCTTGTACCTTCCATGAATGACTTGTAATGACCTTCTGATAAGGATACTTTCTTTATATTCTTCTTTTGAGAAGTAAAGAGTCATATTCCATTACTTTCTTTATATTCTTTCTTGTATTGAGATGATTAATTCTAAATTTGTCAATATTTGTATTCAGTGAAGTGGACATCTGGACGATAATATATTGAAGTGAAAATTTCACATCCTTTGCTGCTCCAAAAGGCGATTTTAGCTTCTGGATGACTTTCTAACAACCAGAAACAGCTAAAGAGTGTTGAGATCTGGCGCAAATCCTTGGCAGAACTCTGTATATTGTAATTTTTCCTGACAGCTGCATCCCACAGGCTTTTGCTTTTGAGTGTAAGCCCGTGTTTTGGCTAATCTAGCAAACTGGTTCTTTTGTAATTATAATGTTCATACAATAGAAGGAAATTTATTTGAAGCTCTGACAACCATATAGATTTGGCTGTGTCCTGCTTTGGTTGTGAAGTATTCACATAACATGCTTGTGTTTTAAATACTTTATGGTAATTGAAACCTTGCAGTAATCCAGTTTGATTCATTAGTAAAGCAACCCATTTTGATGGACTTTCCTCTCTTTAGACTCAGCTAGACCTGATGTTATGCTAATTTAACCTACCTTGTCTACTAAATATATGAATGATAAATAAAATTTGTTAATGTTTTTGGTGGTTTAATATTTATGAGCCTTCACTGTGTTACTTAATTCAGGCAGTTCAGTCTGACGCGATTGACTGACTTATCCCAATTACCTTCTAAAACTCTGTTCCAAGTGCTTGGCTGTAAGCAATTTTGTGAAAATCCTAATCGTATCATAAGCTGTAAAGAAGATTGAATGATGTTCTAAAGCGTATGATTTTTACTGTTTTTAAGACTTTTATCTAACAATTAAAAGTACATGTGCTGAACACTTAGTATATATTTGAAAATGATTTTACCCCATTTTAGCTCACATCCAGCTTATGTGCATTTAATATGTTAGAACTTGCCACTTGTACATTGAATCTTAAGATATAATCAATTTTCACTTGAATGAAGAATGACACTTTCACATACATGTGATGGAAAGTAAACTAATGAAGTTCTTTAAATAGGTTTTAAATAACCAAATAAGTCTTACTGTAGTACTTAATGATGCAACTGGGGCTGGTTTGGCTCGAACACAACCTGAACAAGTCTGGTTGGGTTGTGTAAGTTGAAGTTCAGGTTAAGGTTAGGGTTGAATCAGTGTTTTAAAAACGCAAGGCAAGACACACACCTTTTTGGAGCAATGCACAAAATTAAAAAAAAATGCAAAAAATATAAAAATCAAAATTAATTAAGAAAATATGAAAAATAGCAATAATTGAAAAAGATAAACTTTAAGTTTAAACTAAATGTTTTAAAAAGCCTATTGGCTAAAATTAAAATGCATATACATAACATATAAAAATATTCAATGTGAAAGTGTAAACATAATTTAAAAATAGCATATAAAACATATTCAAGCATGTCAAACTTTCAATTTCTTTATTTCTTTCTCAATTGCATTATTTCGAATAGCTAATATGATGTCAAACATCTTTCATTCTTAATCTCCTATTTGCTAACATTGTTCATTCATTCATCCTAATGAAATATGTTTTTAAAAGACAATTAAATTTATAGAATCATTTTTTGTAGGGATTATATTAAGAATTTAAAATCCTAACATGGATTTATTTTGGCTTGTCTCAAGGAGCTTGGTTGGGGTTTTGGGGGCGAAACGCCCAGCCTAGCTGCAAAATTAAAAATGAACAAAAAGGCACAAATTTTGAAAAGACGCAAGCTTGGGCTGAACTGCAAGGCGCACCAGGTGCACGCCTTTTGAAACTGCTTTGTGCGCCTAAGCACACCTTTTAAATCACTGGGTTGAATGATATGAATCTAACTTAAATTTGGGTTTGGTTGTGGTTGATGTGTTTATTGGGAAACCTGATCCAATCCAAGTCCGAACCTATCTCATCTCAACCTGAAGTCATTGGGTTGGATTAGGGCTCACCTCAACCCAATGTAACCTGGCCTGTAAAGGCTTTAAAGCAAAACCCTTTGTAAAAGAACAAAAAGTAAAAACACAAAGTATAAAACTGTGTCCTAGATTAATTTATGTAGCTTGATTGAATTTAATTGTGTACCATTTTGAAATCTTAAAATTTTGGTAACTGTGTCTGTAAGTATATTGAAGTGAGTTTTTAATCAGTAGCAGAGCATAAAACATCTATTGAAAGCAAAAAGTAATCAAGTTATGTTTTCATAGTTATGCTTCTCCAAGAGAAAAATTTCTGGGCTAGGAGGTACAATCATAAAAAGTTCTTGTAGCCAACCCAAGAAAGGCAAGCTCCAAATACAATTTATCTGGTTTTCCCTTCTCTTGTAATTTGATCTGTTAGAGAATTCCTTTGATATTCTAGCTTGTCGGACTGAGGTGTTCATTCTCATGTTGAATAATTCAGAAACAATTAATCAAAAAATAAATAAAAGTATAAAATCTGCTACTTAAAGAAAACAATATTAAAGAGAGAAGAATAAGAAAAGGAAGAGAAGAGAGAAGATAAAATCAGATCGTGGAGGTCATAATATGCCTTGCACTCTTTTATATAATTGCTAGAAATATGTGTAAAATTACAAAAAGTGCCCTAGTGTGGTGGCAGTAATAAAAGACCTATAAAAGACTAGAATAGGTCTATGGCCCAATAACATTTGTTAATAATTCCACTTTGCTGAAATAAGCTAATAATTACTCCTACTACTACGTTAGACATATTCTACAGTATAAAAGGCTTGGCATCACTAACAAATTGACAGAGCATCATATTCCCCCACCCAATCATCATTAGGGAATCTCATACAAATTGGGGTGGTCTAATGAAAAAGTTCAAATGAAGTTCTTGAATAAGTTACACGATCGTATCTTAAATGAATCCCCAACTTTGGATTTCAATAGTGCATAGAGATTATGATCTCATTATAATCCCGCTCCAGTTTGGTCACTCACTGAAGCTCCAAGAACACCCAATTTGATAATGTTGTTCATTCATTCATCCTAATAAAAGATATTTTGAAAAGATATTAAAATTATAAGTTCAATTTTTGTAGGCATTAAGCATTGAAGATCCTAACATGGACTTGTTTGGGCTTGCCTTTACGGACTTGGTACGAAGGTGGCTTGCAGAATCAAGAGTGCAAAATGTTTAACATCTTGTTAGCTATTTGTAATTTTGCAGTTGGGAAAAGAATATTGAAATTGAAAGTTTTTGATGTTTGGATATGTTCTATATTTTATGTTTGGTTTTGTTTTTAAATTTTTATTTTGAATATGGTTTCTGTGTTATGTTTATGTATTTTAATTTGAGATAATGTTCTTTTATAAAACATTTATTTTAAAAATTGAGTGTATCTTTAATTAATTTAATATTTAATATTTATTTTTTGCATTCTAGCATTTTTTGCATTTTTAACTTTTTGGCCTTTTTTGATATTTTTTGCGCCTTTGCTTTGGCGCGGTGCGTGCCTTGCCTTGCACCTTGTCCCTTGGGTGCAAAATGCCCTTTGTGCTTTTAAAACACTGTTTGGGGTCTGCTACACCAATCTTGTTTGACAGTTTTGCTCTTTCAAGAGCCATATTTCTATCAATTACATGTTCTTAGATCATTTCTTATCCCTTCTGTCATTTATAGATCCGGCCCAATCAACATCAGTACACCTCTATTCTCAAATGGCCATGGCTAGAGAACAATATATCTCGACCTGGCTGCCCTTTAAGGTAGTGCAAGATTTCTCTCTTCTGCTTCAGCATGTGTTTCTTTTGACGAGTGCATATACTGGCTTGTGACACTGATACATGAGAAATGCCTAGATGAATTATGCACAAGTTGAACAATCTCTCAACTAATCATTCCTTGTCTTCAAGAAGCTGTCCTTTAGTAGCCGTCACCCTTTTATTAGTATCTATTAGGTGTTCAACAGGTTTAACACCCAGCTTTCCTGTATCCTGTAGTATGTCTATTACATATTTCCTCTAAGAGATGAATTACCATATTGAGTCCTAAAACTTCGCTAAGGAAATATCTGAAATCGCCTAGGCTTTTGTTTCAAACTTTTTGCTGCGAAACTGTTTTAACTGTTGAATTCTAGCCGCATCATTCCCTGTCACCACAACATCTTAACATAAACTATGAGAGCAGTAAGCAAGGAGCCCTTATAATAAATGAAGTGTGGTTAGGCTAAGCCTATAGAAAACCATACATGCCAGATCACTCCAAAATCCGACAAGCCAGAGTCCAAGTGACTTCTTGAGTCCATACAAGGACTGCTGAAGCCTACAAACTCTACCTCTTCTCATCAGTAGTACAAATACCGGAAAGAAGATTCATGTACACTTTATTTAAGTAATTTAATAAAGCATTATTCACATCCTACTGATATCATGCCCATGAATAAGATGCTGTCAAGTATCTTATTAGCTGTGGTCCATGGGTTATGGAGACACTACAAGGGCTGAGATATTAGCTGTGGTACAAGGACTACAGATTTCCAACCAACTTGGAGTGACTAATTTGATAGTTGAAGGAGACTCTAAGGTGATAGTGCATAGTGGGATGGATGTCAGACCCAGAAACTGTTGTTTGGGGATATAGGGACGTCATCAAAAAAGTCAAATGGCTTACGAGAACCATGTCAGTTAGCTTTCAGTGGGTTAGTAGATCAGCAAATGCTTTGGCAGATTCTTTAGCTTTCAAGGGGCTTCAAGGGATTCTCTGTTTTTGGATAATTTGTAACTGCAATCTGAAAAGAGTTGGGTTTGGAACCACCTTTAAGGGGAGGTAACACCTCGTGCCTCCTCTTAGGGTGCTTCATGCTTGTACTATTTCTATCTCTATTTAATAGACTACTATTCATTCATAAAAAAAAAAGATGCTGCCAAGTACATTAGATTAGAACACTAATGGAGTTCATCTTTTCCATTGGTTCCAAGTAATCAATCCTTTATCCATTGTAAAAAAACCATATATCCACAACATATCTGGCTTTTGGTTTCTAGTTCTTTTAAAAGGATGGTCAACTATGATAGTGGCTTCTCTACACATATTTTATACTTTATATATATCCTGATATAATCTCTGGATTTACATCATGTAGTCCTCTCTGATTAATAGTAAATACTAACAGTCTTTGAAAGGTCCATTGCTATAAACCATTATAGTTTAGGGGTATGCTTAATTATATGTTTCAGTATTTATTCTTCAGGCCTTACTGTACTTCACTAGTTTCTGCTTCAGCATTGGTTCTCCTTCCAGCTTGCATTCTGAACTCATCCACTACTCCTTGGTGTTGTGTCAGATTCTTCAATTTTTAGTGTAAATTTGATATCCAATAATTTGTGCAGCAATATCCTTACTATATCTGGGTAGCATTGCTCTCAAAACTCTTGCACCAACTTGTGATGGCGACCTATAAACTGATTCATCAATACTAAGTTTCAACCTGACCGCCCAATGAGGAGTTTGGCTCTTAAGTTTTGGGCATACCTGCTCACTTTAGATTTTTCAAATATATTTAACTAACTTTATAGCCTTACACATGATTTGTTGAGATTTTCTTATAGGATCTGGTTATTGGTGGTTGTTGTTTAAAACACAAGTTATTCCAATCTTTTGAAACCTTCCAAGTGCCTACAATATGGTAAGCAATGCTTGCGACAGCTTGTCAGGTTCTTTTTTTTTGGTGAGAAACAATTGAAGGGCCTGTATAGTAGTCTGGAATGGGAAATGGTAAAGGGAAATACCTTTTTTTTTTATTTGGTTTCCACAGTAATTCCAGCACTGAAGCACACTTGCTTTAAAAGTTGGGAGCACATCAAACAAGTGTCATGAATACTATGCAAATGTTGCACTTATATGATCCTATCATGTGCCAGAAATGAAATAAAATATTTTACTTTTTGGGGCCTGCAGAGTTTCTAATGGTGCAACCGCTTCTTTTCACAGTCGACATTACTAGCAGCTGATATCTTCGTTAAATTTCCTAATTATGTATTAAAGGACATACAAGATTGTCCTGAATGTGGCTTTAGAAGAATGGAGATAAATTATTTGTTCTTTAATTTCTTCAAAAGAAATTGTCCTGAATGTGGCTTTAGAGCTGGTGTAAGCACGTATCTAGCATTATATAAGAGCTGGTGTAATAACGTTGAGTCATGGACGTAGTACCTAATGTATATGTCCCCAATGTTTTTTTAACGATGCACAGGAATAGTATCCACATTAATTTGGCAATTGTTTCTCAATCAACAGGTTTGATGTTTTTGTTGAAGTTGATTAGGCTTTGCTTTTGGGAGCCTAATGGTTTGTGTAACATGTGAGAGGGGGGGGGGGGTAGAGGGTAAAGATTACATCTATTTGTTCTTGCTGGCAAGTTAGTTATTCCCTCCTTTTTTTTGGTATAGGAAAATGTACTTTTGGTGCTAGGTTCTTGGGGGAATAGGATGCTGCGGTATTTCCCAGGCTTAGTTTGCAATGTATTTTTTACTGATCGATAACTTCAATATCTTTTTTTTTTTCCTTTTCTTTTTGAATCAGGCCCAGCAGGTGAAGGAGATTCACTAAGAGCGGAAGTAATGGCAGTTATGGAAGTGGTGCCAAGGGCTAGAACCATGAATGCTAGAAAGCTAATCATTGAAGGGGATTCCAAACTGGTAGTGGATTGGCTACTGGATGAGGAAAGTAGGATGTGGAAATATAATAATGAGAAGAAAAATTCAGATGGATCACAAAGGACATGGAACTGAGAATACAGTGGGTGAAAAGAACAGCTAATTCAATGGCTGCTGCGCTAGCCAAGCAAGGGGTCGGGAGAATTCAAACATTTTGGGCACAAATGTAATTGTAATTATAACTAAAGTTAAAGGGGAGAGATAAGAGAGCTTGTCTCTCTCTCACTTTCTCTTGTACGCTTTCCTTTAAATTCAATGAAGTAATCAGTTATTCATAAAAAAAAAACAGTTCCATTGTCTTGCATATCCTATTGGAGTATTGGATGGGGCACAGAGTGAACCCTGAAAGCAGAACACAATCTTCTGCAAATAAATGACAAAAATATGATTCACATCTGGTGTTAGAAATAGGCTTAAGTTTTATTCTCGATAGCTTCTTTTTTTTTGTTTCTTTTTTATCGAGTAAAGGTAAAGTGTGGAGGAAGCTGCCACCATACAGTGAGGGTGTGTAAAAAGGAAAAGACCAAGCTACCTTGCCCCTCTGCACACCAAGAACCAAGATAAAGCCTTTGTCACAGTTTTCCCAAGAATTTTATCATCTTGAGACTTGATATTTTCGTGTACTCTAAGCTTTGCTTTTTTTTTTATCAACAGCAGAAAAAAATTATTAATTGAGAGAGGAAATATTACAAATATACTCTAAGCTTCTTTTCAATCGAATAGTCCAAAAGATGGCTGCTAATTCCAATAACCAAGCTACCTTGTCCCTCTTGCTCTGCCCATTAACCTGCCAGCTGAGAAGGATTTTTAGTCAAGTTCAGAGTAGTCTAGTGACTGTTTGGGAGGGCTAGAGTGAAGCAGCTTCTGGATTTCCAAGGTGGGCCCTGTATGTACAACCTATAAGCTATGCCTGGTGAAAAATCGGGAGAGCCCAAATCAGCTGAGTCATCATTTGAAGGATTTCCACTTCAACATCTTTAAATAGCTTATCTGGAGCACTTAAAAGCAGCTGAACGAATCTTCAGCTTAGCCCTCCTAGATGGGCCCTTAGGAAGCACAGCTTATGTTGAGGTACTGAAGAAAATGAACACACAATTTAGATTTGAGTGGATAATGGATGAAAAGATGATTGTCTAATTCAAGGCTTACCCAGTTTGCATTTGGAAGCTCTAAAACCTTGTCTGAGTAGCTTATCTTTGATGATGAACTTCCCTAGAACCACAGTCCAAGCTACAAAGGGCACTTTTTGGAGGAAGCCCAGGTGCCCAAACAGTCTCACACAGGAAGGAAGAAGACGTGAAGGGGGCCAAGTGTCTTGCAAAAGATTTGACTGGGTAAAGACCGGCCATGCCCCTTTTGCAGACCATACAATTGTCAGCACGTACTCTTTGGTTGTGAGTCTGAAGGATGCAAAAATGGTTTGCCAGATATTCAATTTCCCAGTCCTGGAGATTGCATCTGAATTTGCCCCACAATATTGTTGCCCTCTATATCATACTGTTGAGCTATCATCACCTCTTTGTTTTCTGTTATAGCAAACAGGTTTCAGAATATGCTGGCTAGTGGTCTATCCCCGCACCAACTATCAAGCCAGAATTTGAGCTCTGAATGTTGCAGGAAAAACCCTCCCAAGTTGGAATGTGTTTTCTGAATTCCTTTCCACATTGTGTAGCCCTAGGGGGGGGGGCAGTCACCAGTCCCTGGTCCAAATTTCCATCCCAGAAACCATACTTGCTGCTACTAGTTGGCAACACCATCTTCTTCTGTACCAAACCTCGGTAGCTACTTGCTCAATAAAGTGGGATTGATCACTTTAATCTTTTGAAGACCTAGCCAACTTTTTGCGTTTGGATATCTGATTTTGGCCTAGTTGTCCAGGTTAAATGTCTGTTCATCTTTCCACCTTTCCAGAAGAAATCTCTCTGCATCTTTTCCAGCCTTTTAGCCACCTTGGTTGGTATAGAGAACAGTAGGAGGGAATAAGTGAGAAGGCTTGATTTTGTTTTAGTAAAGTAGGTTTTCCTCCTATGGAGAAGTAAATTATTCAGTTTGCGAGTTAAAATACTAGTTTTTTTTTTTCCTTTTTTATTTGTTAGGGTTCAATCAACACATAAACTGTCTTGAACCCTTGAAAACTTCAAACCTAAACTGATATGCGGGGAAGAACTCAGTTTTATTCAATGAACACATTGATTTTCTTCTTTCCCTAGGATAAAAATAGGGCCGCAGCCCCTCTATTTTCTGTTTTTGTTTTCTTTCTTCCATTTTTTCATGAATGTCTTGATTCTCTATGTTCTAATTGATGTTTATACATTTTTTATGAAGATTATAGACAATTACTAGTGAAAGATGGTTACTGCTTGCTATGGAACCTAAGGAATTTCCTTGGATGATGCCTAGGTGCTTAGTTGACTAGGTGCCCCTTTGTTGCCTACCTTGCCTTGATGCCTTGAAAACTATGTGGGGAGGTGCATATGGTTCCCTGGGGTTATACCTAAGAGGAATTAATGAGCTTTACCTCAGGTTGATCCTCAAGCCCAAGATCACTTCTTACCAATGGAGAATGCGATGAGAGAATGGTGTCACAGAGTGGAGGCAAAAAGATGGTGTCATCCATGAACTGGTAAAGACTAATATTGGGGGTGTAGGCCGGCCCATATGCTGAAGCATGCATGATAGCATTGCATGTGGCTTTAGATGTCATCTTGGTAAATTCCTTCATCACACAAATGAATAGTAGTGGTGAGTGTGACAAAGTCACCTTTGCAGATCCCTAAGAATTCTTGAAGCCAACCAAAGCACCAATGATGAGAACTAAGAATTTTGGAATGGAAATACACACCTTTATCCAATTTCTCTATTTGTGACTAAGGCTCCGTTTGGTTTGTGGGAAGATTTGGGTGGGATGGGATGGGATGGAAAAGTGTAAAAATTTACACTTCCATTGTTTGGTTTTATATATGGGAAAATAATGGGAAAAGCATTGTGACGAGCTACTTCTTCGCCGGATTCATGTAAGGTGAAGAAGAGAGCTCCGTGACTGCAGCGACGATCAGAGAGAGAGAAGGAAAATGAGGGAATCGAAAACAATTGATGATCGGAGAAACTAGTCAAAACCAGTGAAATGGTTGCCGAAGACGGTAGGAATGATGAAGTATAGCCGTTGTGGGGTGCTCTATTTCACCAAGAGGAAGATGAACAATAGTTTGCCGGCGGAAAGCGAAGATGATGAACAATGCCGCTGGTCACTATTGGAAAGCGAACAGTGTCGCCGTCGACAGTAGTTCGTTGGCAGAAAGCAAAGACGATGAACAGAGAGGTACTAGAGGGTAAATGATCCTGGTCACCGTTGCTTTTTTTTCCTGTGTTTGTTGTCGAGAAGACGATGAACAATGCTTTTTTTTGGGTGAAAAACAAAAGATGGAAGAAGAAGAAAGAGAAGAAGAGAGAGAGGGAGGAAGGGAGTGGCTGAGAGGGGGTGCCGTCGCAGCTGCTCTGCTTCTGGGTTCGAACAGGGAAGGAGAGGTAGCAGATCATCGATGGTAACAGGGAAGGCACTGATTCTCTCCCTCCTTTGTTCGTCGTCGCTGGTTCCCTCCTCTGTTCTTCGTTGATGGTATCAGTGGTTTCTCAAATTTTTCCACTGGGGTCGCACGGTTTTGGTGCGACCCCGAATCCACGATTTTGGGATCTGACATCCCACATTTTTCTCATCCCGTCCTATTTCCCTCAAAACAAATGAGAGAAAAAAGAATATTTTTGGAATATTCCATTTTTCTCATCCCCTTCCTACAAACCAAACAAAGCCTAAAGTTCATTCTACTCAACATGTTTACAAGGTCAAAACCCTTTTTTAGGTTGATTTTGAAGAGAACTATTGGGAATTCCAATATCAGTTATGAATCAATTAGCTCATTTGCAATGGGTACACTGTCAAGAATTTTGTAGGAACTGCTGACAAATGATCAGCCTGAAATCTTTAATGACCACAGCCCTGCCTAATTTAGGATGATATTCAGGCTTCTTCAGATGAAAAATTGGTATATAAGCTGGCTAGAGCTGTGAATATGTCATCTTTTATAATATCCCAGCAATTCTTGGAGAGCATTTTAGAATTATTATAATCGGAGTTGTTGTCACAATCATGTCATTAAGCACTTCCCAAACATTCTCCTCACTGAAAGGCTTCTCAAGGTCTTTCATTTTGGCCTCTGACTGTATCCCAAAATCAAGTCCGTTTAGTGTTGTTCTTCTACAAACTTCTGTGTAGTGATTTTCATAAAATCTGGCTGGTGCCCTTTTTGAGCTCTTCTGCTTCTCCAACTAGGCACCCATTATCAGCAATGTTTCTATTGCATTTTGTCTACCTTTGGCATTGGCCATGAAGGAAAGAGTGTTCTTTGCATCACCTCCTTCAATCAACTAACTCTGGCATGTTCTCTCCTTTCTACTTCCTCTTTATGAGTCAATTTATCAAAAAAATTGAGTTTGCCCTTTCAATTACTCCTTTTCTGACAGCTGCCTTTGCTCCCTTTTGCAAATCCAGCAATTATTTGAGACAATCATCTTTCTGTCTTGTGGGGAGATTTAGACAATTTCTTTTGCATCAATTTTTCTGTTTATCATTTGAAACTTGTTCACGTGTACCTCACTGCTGACCTCAAGAGAGTTCACCATGCTTGAATCTTATCCTTGAAATTGTCCTCCTCAAACCAGCCTGGCTTAGACATGTGGTCTGAGAGTGACCTAGGGAGAATTTCTTGATTTGTTGCTAGATAGTTCTGTTCCCAGTTAGATGAAACCAGGAAAGTGGTCAAACCTCACAGGAACAGGGTTCTCTTGATTGTTAACCAAGTGTACTCAGTGATGAAGAGTAGATGGTCTACTAGTTAGATGGACTAAAACCACAAAATCTCTCTTGCTCAATATGATTCTGTGATGTAGGACCAGCTCAGTTCTAGTTCTTAGAGAATGTGAATGGTCTTCTTGGATCAGATTTTTATGGCTGTTGAGGGCTGTAATGGTTTCTTGAAGGAATAAGAGAGATAATAGGGAGAGAGAAGAGAGAAAATACCTGGAATCACTCACAGGGTGCCTAGAATCACTCTAAGGCATGGGAATCACACACCATAGCTAGCATAAGCTGAAGAAAACTCAATAAACTTCATTGCCTTCGTGTAAAACGTCCATACATATTTATAGACTCTAAACGCATAATAATCCTAGGAGTCAAACTGTTAGACTCATAATGGTCTTAGGAGTCAAACTATTAGACTCAATTATCTT